CGCACGACGCCGCCGCCGATGTCACTGGTGGCGGCGCGGTGCGGGTCGAACGCATTGGAGTCGCCCTCGACGATTCGAGCGCGCAGCACCCCGGGCCGAAGTCTGCAGTCCGCTTGTGCGGCGCCGCCGTCGCCGTCCTCTGCGTGGGTGCCAAACGGTGACGCACAGCAGCAGCAGCAGCAGCAAGAACCGTCGCTGCCGAACTCGTTAACGAAGCGCCCCACCCCACGCAACGCGGCACGTGACGGCGTCGCGAATACCAGCACGGCCACACGTGTTCCGCCCATGCAGGACTTGTCCCTCCTGTCGCGGCGGACGCAAACCCCACGAGCTCCGCGGCGCACAACCTCCGTGAGACGGCAACAACAACAGCAGCAACAAACCCCACGGTCTGCCCGCACTCCGCGTGCTGGCTCCGCTTCCGTCGGAGCGCCTATGCTGGTCATCACGCCCGGCGGCCGCCGTCGGCTTGTGCAGCCGGAGAGGCTCTGAGCATCTGCTCAGGTGGAAAGCGAGTCTCTAGTAGAGAGAAGAGGGACTATGAAGCAGTGGCACAGTAGGAAAAGGGTCGAAGAGCAGCGACAAGGAGAAGAAAAGCAATAAAAAAAAAAACAACCTGGGCAAGGGCGGGAGACGCAATGTCTATTTAGTCCCTTCGTTTTTGTACAAAATATGCCGGTTCTTTTTTTTTTTTTTTCAGGGTGTGAGGGCGACATGCGGTGCGGGGCGCAGCCCGGGCCCACACATATGCATAAGGTAGTGTTTTCTTATTCGTAGCAGCGCCAATTCCTCTTGCTCTCCCACCCTCACAGTCTCCGCTTCTCTCGCTTCCGTCCCTCGCTCTCTTTCTCTCGTCAATGTTATCTTTTTTTTGTTTTTGTTTTTGTTNATATGCATAAGGTAGTGTTTTCTTATTCGTAGCAGCGCCAATTCCTCTTGCTCTCCCACCCTCACAGTCTCCGCTTCTCTCGCTTCTGTCCCTCGCTCTCTTTCTCTCGTCAATGTTATCTTTTTTTTTGTTTTTGTTTTTGTTTTTTGTTACCACGGGGAGGGAGAGCGGGGGGGGGCGGCACGCAGACCCGCCCGCTGGTCGCGGCGCGGCGAGAGACACACATGAAAGAAGCAAACAACTAAACGCGAGGCAGAGCAAGAGAGAGAGAGAGAGAGAGACAGGTATAGCAGGGAGATCGCGAGAGGCATGCGGACGGCGCGCAGAGAAATCTCTCCACCAACCAAAAAGCCCAAAGAAAGGGAAAAGAAAAAAAACTCAAAAACCGGGGAGGCAATCAAAACAGAGGCGCAGGGCGCCGTCTTTTGTCTT